GTACCAGTTTAACGTTGAATATTATTTATGATTTTAACATGAATGTTATTGCCCTTTGGATATTCCAGACCAGTTTCACGGTCATGAGAGTTGATTGGATGTGATGGACTTCCCTAGGATGCTGGATGCCCCATTCCTGGCTCTCTAGCTCAATGCTAATCCTGCGTCATGCCCTGGAATCGATGTTTTATTCTCGTCCAAGATTCTGGTGTATGAGGTGAAGATGCTATGATCCTCATCCTACCCTCGCATGGATCTCCTGGATGTCGGTACCCAGTGAGGAGATTTTGGATGTGGTTGACTTACCAAATACGGTCTGCCATGCCCTAGCCACTCTACACCATGGGACTCGTCCTTGTTTACCCACCTTCTTCCTGTGGGATGGAGATCATTTCTCTTCCCACATGAGAGGATGCATGGGAATGGGCAAGGCTTAAGAAGTGAAAGGAAATTTATGTCAAGAAGCTTCTATCCGAGACTTGAAGGTGTGTGGAATGCCCCAAAGACCATGTGGCAAGGACTGAAAAAGGTGAATGACAAAGAAAGGGTGTCATGTCTGAAGAGATCTCAACTACACGGAAACTATATGAGGAGAGAGACTTAAAGCCATAACCCTGGTCTAGCTATGTAAAAAGACCAACTGGAGATACCTCAAGAAAACTATTTGAATCCTGGTGGAAGGTTTAACATACGAGATGAGAAAACAGGTAGCAAAGGGTTAGAAGAAAAAGATTGGAGAAGAGACCCTGGTTAGGGATACTGGTAATGAGAGTCAACATCCCAGTAGGCAGAAGCGATTACAGGAATTGACAATCCAAGAAGAGTGACCATAAGCCATATTAAAGGAAATGAGGAGGATGAGGTGGGGAAGAGTGGAAAAGATATTGAGGCAAGAAGATCTCAGCATAAACACCAAGATGGGTAAAGAATAAAACTACAGCACAAAAGCATGGAATAAAACTGTGAAGAGACATAAAACATAGGAGAAAGAAAGTTATAATTTTCCTATACTGAAAATGTATTTCCAATAGGTACTATCACTTCGAAGTTTGGCAAATGACAGAAGCACTATAGGAAAATTATAACTTCTGATATGGTACTTCCTTCTGCTCACAAGATTAGCTAGAATCCCACATTAATAAGGAGGAGGGACCAGTGTGAGGGAAGAACAGATGTACCTCCCCCCAAAAGTGTTTGAATGATACCCCTGTAGATGAGAGCATCAGATCAGGAGATCTGAAGAGGGGAACCATACCACTTCTGATCCAGGTATACTTGTCGCTACATATGAAATTGGAGGAACATGGCAGAAAAAAAGGGAACACATCTGAGTGGGAGAGAATATGACAGGGAGTGATCCTACTACCCTTGGCTTCACTTACACATCCTCTTTCCACCCCTCTAACTTCTCTTACCATTCCCCCTCCTGGAGGGTTAGCCTTTTGTCCTGCCTGTGAATATTTCTTTTTTGTGCCCAATCAGCTTCAGTTACACGAGTCTTCTTTTCTAACCCATGGACTCCCTTCACGGCCAACCATTGGATTACCCAGGTTCTTACCCACTCTCTCTCACTCATTTCTTCCTCATCCTACTCTTATCACATTGTTTTTACCCAGCCTTCCAATCCACAGCATCTCCACTGTCTCGAGGACATTGTCAAAGCTCTTGGTTTTGAAAGTGTTGCTTGACCCTTTCCAGGTACTAATTCCTTTTCTTCATTGTCTTTTTGATTACTTGAGACTGATATCTCCTTTATTGTACTTTTCTCTGAACCACATCTGATGATTCCCCAGTTTCAGATGAAGATGGTTTCTTCCTCTTAATAGATTGTTTTCCTCCAGCCTTTGGATGAAGACAGTCCATGTCTCAGTTACCTTTCTTCACTTTCCAGTAGGTCCATCATCATGATGTTTTCTTCAGTTTGTCCATCACAACATGGTATATCAATTTCCTTTCCTTTCTTTACATTTGGCTACTTTTCACTACTACTTGATAGACCTCTTTTACAGCCACATCCCTTTTCTTAGAAAGACTGGTCTTGTTTTTGTGGCTGTTTATTACTCTGACTCTATTTGATCTACCTCAGAATCCTTTCCTCTTTGCATCTCAATTGGGCTCATTGTGTCCAATTAATCTACAATTCATGGAGTGTCTGGTTACTTCAGCTGTTTTAATTCCTGATCCCACAACTAGCTGTGAACACCATAAACCTATATGTGTTCCCTGTTATCCACTTTCCCCACTTGTTGAGTCCTTTTGGTAGCATCTTATTGGCTAGTCTTTTGTCTTCTCCACTGACTAGTACCTTAGGCACCTCTTCTTTTTCTATAATTGAGGTTCCTCTTTCTCCAACCTTTTGCATTACTTTTTCATCTAGGAATGTAGCCCTTTCATCTTCACACAAGGGATTCTATTTTCCTTCTTCAACAGGAAGTTTCTCATGTTGTGTTACACTTCTTTTGAACTGTTTGAGTCATCATTTCCCTCTCTTCTACAATGCAAGTGGCATTTTTATCATATCTGGTCCACCAGCCACTCTCTTTCCTCAAACCATCCTTCTGTTGCCCATGATTTGGATTTCTTTACCAAGCTGTTTGCCTACATTATGGTTGGATATTGTTTGGCCTTCTTGGCCACTTTTTTCCTTATAATGTAGTTCAGTTTTTTCTTATGCATTCTACTGGTCTTTCCTTTTTATTTTTCCTCATCCAGCTCATTTGCCTGATTGGGGCCTTCTTATGGTGCTTTCCACTCTCATTCAAACCCCATTTCAATCCCTAGCCATTTTTCCCTTCTCATCTTTCTTTAAAGGCTTCTTTGCTTCTGGCTTGATGTCATTGCCTTTCTGATATGCCTCCCATATTCTGTTCCACAAATCTCACTCCCTTTTGTTCACTGATCACCCTTTCCTTTCCTATACATGGGTAGCTTGGGAAGGTAACGAATCCTTTTCTCCCGTATTTCTTCCATCATTTTCTGCCCACAATGATTGTATGACCCTTGTCTTTTGTTCTTTGTTCAGGGCACTTTGGTGCTGCTAAACATGTGGCTCCCTTTTTGAGATACCTGCAATAATCTATTCTTGCCACATGACCCCTCCTCACTCAGGGATGTTTAGTCCATAATTACCAATAGAGTTCAGCACTTCATTTGTGTCATTTGTTTGTTTTTTTTCCTAGAGGATGACACTACCAAACTGTCACATCATTTATCATCAATTTGTCCTCACTCTTACAGACAGGGAGGTAGACAATGCCCAACACACCTTCTTTATCATCTTGCAGTTTCATATCCATCCATACTTCTCTCTTTAGTTACCATTCTTCAGTCAACCCATCAATTTTAATGGGTGAGTGCTTCATTTATCTTTTTATTCACTTTTGATAGGTATTTCTTCACAAGGTATACTTACTTCCTTAAATCTCCATTAAGTCAGGGCTAACAAAAAGTGTTAAGCCAGTCTGCCTTGGTTCTTACGTGCCTATTTTTCAGATGAGGTTTTCTGCAAGACCACTACAGTGATATATGTATAATATGTCCATTCCAGTCTGTATCTTCCATGTATTAGCATGGAAAAAGCTGGCACTGAGGGAGCATCTGTCCACTTTCCTGGTTTGCACATGCTAGCTTTTCAAAATAAGTTTCATGGTATCCCATTAAACTTTCTCCATTTAAAAACCTTTATGGTGATTAGGACCAATCAGGTCTGGACATCTCTCTGGAGTCTTACCAGTACAAATCCTCCTCCTAATCTTTCAAATGGAAAGGCCCTTTCCAGTTGTAGCCACTAGAGTGGTCAACTCGGAGTTCCTCACTGGATGTGCAACCCCTCTAGAGAGAGCCATAGTGGGTAGCACAATGCAGTGGGAAGTGGAACAGATGTCCATGACGATGTAGTACAGGTCACCCCCTTTTCTATTAAATACAAATTTCCCAGTGGTTTTGACCAGCCAGATGGGGCAAAGTGTTCTCCTTGGGACCTTATTCCCTATTCCTATATTTATGATGAGTAAATTGTACAACATAACACATACCAAACCTTACTGTCTGGTTATTGTCCTAGCCACACTACTACTATTCATGTCTATATGATTTGTCATATGCAAATGTTTAGTTGTTCTTGTATTCTTTCCACATGGCCCTGCAACACATCAGCTGTTTTTTTTTCTTTCATATTTCCCTCTTGGTAAAGAGTATACCCTGCCTGAGAAGGATTTGATCTTCCATGAGTGTTGTTCCTCTAGCAAGCTCCCACTATTGGGTTTCATGCTCCATGGGCTTTCCCCTTCTGTTGCCTTCTTTAAAGGGAGCTCATTTAGGTTTTTGGTTTTGCATTGTCCCATCCACCACATCAGTGTGGGTTTCTAGCTACTGTGTGAAGAGAGGTAAGTGTATTATTTTGGATGTTAACATTTTTCTTACCTGGAAATATACTTCTGATAAATAATTACTCCTCTACACACTTTTCCACCCTTCCTTCCCACTACTGGTGCACATTATCATGCCTTGTCTAAGAACAAATTTAATTCCGAATGCAAATGCATACGAGGATCAACTGCATATGATGGATATGTCACACTCTTATCGGTTGAGGGTGACTGCCACATTATGATTACATCATACATTAGGGTAGTTCATGTCAAAACACATGATATAGATGGGAGATAGTTCAAGGCTAGTGGCATGTCCAATGTGTTAACTTCAAGATCTGAATTACCAGATGTAATGGTAATGGTAGTAACTTGTTAAGTAGATTCCGAAGTGGAAGTGAGGTGTATTATAAGTTATCTAAACGTATGTTTGGTAGTTGATGAAAACAAAAAAATTAGGTTGGAATGTATGTATTTACATATACATGTAGTTGCCACAGTTTCTGCCCTAATTGGTTGTTTCTCGTACAGAAGGATGCATGTTGGATTTTGTAGTGTACACATCAGTGTGGTGACCTTTTCATTGTTTTGTTATTTAATAAAATAAATTTGTTGATATCTTCTAAACAGGACCTTGACAAAGAGGAAGGTACTACTTTAGAGCAGGTTTCTGTAGAGGAGATTTTGGAAGCACAGCGTATTGAGCAAGAACAGAAGCAAGAACAAGAGAAGCTTCGTGCTAAAGCTTTGAAAGAACGAGGACTGGCATATCACCTAGATACTACCTATGAGGATTTTTAAAAAGTTCGAATAATAACTGTGTTTTGCAGGAGTGAGCCAGGGAGTTCATTCTTCTTCCATAGTTCTCTTTTGGCATATCTTATAATTTTTCTTAAAATAGATTTATTGTCCTTGCAGAATGGAAATAAAGTTTAATACTTCAAGCATTTGAATGGGTTGTTTTTAAAACTCACTGTCTCATCAGCAGAACTTAGTCTTTCCAGTCATTTGAATGGGTTGTTTTTAAAACTCACTGTCTCATCAGCAGAACTTAGTCTTTCCAGTCATTTGAATGGGTTGTTTTTAAAACTCACTCTCTCATCAGCAGAACTTAGTCTTTCCAGTTTA